GGTAGGTAGGTAGGTAGGTGGGTATGCACGTATGCATGCATGTACGAGGGATGCATGTATGCTTGCATGCATATATATATATATATATATACGTACATGTATAGACGTTTGAGAGCGACGGGCGCCTATTCCTCATGCCAATGCCCCAGCATATCCCTTTGAGCCTTGCTGGCCAGGATCTTCATCGGTACGAGGCCTGGCCGCTTGAGTTCTGAGGCACTTCAACATATCCCAGAGAGCCCAATGCCCCTTCATTAAGGAATATACCTTAAATTATAGGGGCCTTAGTATCATGATTTAAGGTATATTCCTTAATTAAGGGGAATTGGGTTCTCTGGGATATTTTCTCCAGATCCAGATCTCCGCTTCGGCCTCCATGGGCCCTTCACAGACCTGCTGTCAGGAAGCTAGCAAGGAATCTTCCTCCCCAGACATGCCAGAACCCTAAATTACCCTAAACTCTAAACCCTAAACCCCAAAAGAGCCGGAAACCTGTGAGGATCTGGAACAGCGCCTAAGGCACGTGCAGGACAAGCCTGGGCCTCACTGTCTGCCTTTGGGTTTTTTCAGGCTTTCCATATGTTTGGGGCTTTGCATCTTGGGGTTTAGGGTTTAGGGTTTGGGTGACTTTGAAGCTGAACAGGTGTAGGCTTCTTTGGCATGTTCAGCACCTCTCTTCGGTCGGGTAATCAGGTTGAAATGAGTTGCTGCGCGATGGTTTCTGTGGATCCTATCCTTCAACCCAAGTTCTGGACCTTTTCGGAAGGAGGGTGCATTTTAAACCCTAAACCCTAAAACCTAAACTCTAAACCCTAAACCCTAAACCCTAATCGAGAGTCTGATGAGGGCCTGGAGGCTTCAAATCCCGACAGCTCGCGGCGGATCGGAGCTGAAGGGCCAGAGCAGGTTGCTCTACCTATAGTCTCCATTGTAGTTCCTTTTTTTGGTTTAACCAATTATATATTCAGGAGTTTATAAGGTATCCCCAAAAAGGAACTACAATGGAGACTATAGGTACTTGGAGGGTCATGGGACTTAGTAAGTAAGGTTATAAGTACCCTAATTGGGGTTATAGTTATAGTTACCTTATTTATAACGCTAGTCACTAAGTCCCATGATCCTCCAAGCAGTTTTCTGGGCTTCTTGCTCCTGAGTCCGTGGGTAGCAGGCTGTGCCAGTGCCCTTCTAGCGAAGTTCCCGAGCCCTATCCAAACTCTTCTGTCATCACTGAAAGGTCCAAGCTGAGCGAGCTGGAAATGCTGATGCAGGGCATCGAGACCGAGCAGGTGGGAAGACTTTGCCACTGGTTTCAGCCTTGAGCCTTGATGAAGTACGAGTTCTGCACGACTATGTGCCCTTGTCATGGTTTCTTGTTTCCGCTTTGCAGCAAGTAGTGCTTCTCTCGGTCTTATACGTTTCTTACTTGGTTCTTGGAGTGCAGCTCCCCCTAGCTCTGAACCACTGGAACTTTCGAGTTTCGAGCCGAAGAGCTTGGCCTTACAGCTGCTCCTTTTTTCGTTGTTGCTTTCCTACTCCGCAGGAGAGCATATCTGATCTAAGTTAATTCGTGGTCCTTGCAAGGATCAAGATACTCGCCGTGTCTTGTTTTGCATTTGGTTTTTGTACCCCGGCGGCCGTGTGTCTTGAACCAGTGAGTCCTACAAGAAGCCTTCGCCTGTACACGCAGGCACGATAACTTGCAAACGCACGGGTACTTGGAGGATCATGGAACTTAGTACGTAAGGTTATAAGTATACCCTAAGTGGGGTTATAATTATAGTTACCTTATTTATAACCCTTACTACGTCCCATGATCCTCCAAGTAGGGATTCCCTAAACCCTAAACCCTAAACCCTAAACCCTAATCCCTAAACCCTAAACCCTAAACCCTAAACCCTAAACCCTAATCCTGCTTCTCAGGAGGCTCTGCATGGCCATCTGGAAGCCAGCCAAGCCCGAGCTGTGAACCTGGAGAGCCAGGCCAGTTCAATCGAAGGATAGGTTTGTTTGTAGTTTAGGGTTTAGGGTTTAGGGTTATGGCTCTGATGAGAAATCCTTGTGTTGCCTGTATTATTCCTGTTATCTTGTGATTGCCGAGGTCGTTGCTGTAGTGGTGGTGCTGGTGATGGGCGTCGTCGTCCTCATAGTCGTGGTCTCGTCGTTGTCGCCATCTTCGTAGAAGGTAGGTAGGCAAGCAGGCCGGTGGCAGGCAGGCCGGGAGGCAGGTAGAGTCAGCCAGTCAGTCAGTCAGTCAATGAAAGAGTTAGCTGTCTTTAGTTAGTCAGTTTGTTCGTCCGTTCTTTCGTTAGTTAGCGAGCTAACTAGCGAGTTAGTTAGTTGGTGGCTGACTGCGGGAGTGAGTTAGTTCGTGAGTTAGTTCGCTCGTTCGTTTGTTCCCTCTTTCGTTCGTCAGTTAGTTCGTATTTGGGTGGTTGGCTGGCTAGATGGTTAGTTAACTAGCTATAGTTAGTTAGTTACCGAGTCAGGTTGTTTTGCGCATGGCAGTAGTTTGTAGTCGTCATCGTCGTCTTTGTCGCAGTAGCAGAAGCAGTCAGTAGCAGTAGCATAGTATTAGTAGTATTAGTAGTAGTAGTAGTAGTAGTAGTAGTAGTAGGAGGAGGAGTAGAAGTGGTAGTAGTAGTAGTCGTCGTAGTAGTAGCAGTAGTAGTAGTAGTAAATGTAAAAGTAGTAGTAGTAGTAGTAAAAGTAGTAGTAGTAGTAGTAGTAGTAGTAGTCGCAGTAGTCGTGGTAGTCGT